GATCCAACATCCTAGCCATGCCTTCCTGAACATGTCTGAAAATGCTCATCCCTGAGGCTGCCCCGGGTTTGGTGAGCTCCCCTGGGTGGGAAGTTTCTCTGTGTTCATGATGCCTCTCTGCCTCCCCTCAAATCCAGCATTTCTCCAGGTGGGTGGATCTCAGAGACCCCAGCTCTCATCTCAGCCTGCGCATCCTTCTCTGGAGAGGCTGCCAGGCCCCCCAGGAGCTGTGATGGATGAGTCCCTGTTCAGGCCCAAATGCCCCTGCAGAATAGGAAGGCTGGATACTAGTTAGCGAGTGGGGTGTGGGTAGAGGGCTTCTTTGGCACAGGCCTGGCAAGCAGGTGCCCATCATTCAGCACACTAAGAATGCTGAGGCAGGATCTTTGGTCCACTTGCTGGTGATACAGTGGAAGGCAGTTAAGCAGCTGAGAACCCCGTCACCCCATTGCACAGGCCATGAGGGCACCCTTGAGGCAGATTTTGCTGGGGGAAGGTGGCCTTTGTGGGGAGTGCAGTTCAAGTGTGGCTTTCAATGAATAGATAATGAAGTGACATTTTAATTGTGTTTCTGGCAGGTCAGGAGAGGTGAGGGGTGGGAGAGTAGATGGAGTCAGGGAAACACAGAGACCTTCCATCCACTCTCCCTCATAACAGCGAGAACAGAGACTTTATCATCCAAAATGGGACACTTCTGTGCTCAGTTCAGCAGCACAGATACTAGAATAGGAATGATACAGAGAAGATTAGCATGGCCCCTGTTCAAGGATGACACGCAAATTCGTGAAGCAGTTTATATTTTTAAGAAAAAAAGGGACGCTTTTGATAGTAAAAGCGGGCATTGTTATTATTATAATCATAAGAAAAAAACAGATGTAAAATGGGACTTTCCCTGGCAAACACAAGACTTCATGAGCCAGTATGCTTGGCTGTGTTTTCTCCTCTCCAGTTGCCCTTGATAAAGAAGAAAGTGGACTGCACAGTGCTTGCCAGGTATTAATGGGTCATATGGCCTGTGGCAGGACACTTCACCTTTCTGACCCTCGGCTCCCTCATCCATAGTTTCCTTCTTTCATTCTCTAGCTATTCTTTTGTAGTACCTTCGATGTGCCATGTGCAACACAGTGTGCCAGGTGCTGCGAGTTCAAAAGTGACGATGGCAGGGCCCCAGTGCTGTCAGCTCCCTGGGATCCCTGACCTCTCCGGAGACACAGCTCTAGCCCATGAAGTCATGTGATTTAGTTTGGGGAGCCGAAACCGTTAGTAACAGCAGGGTAAGGCTGTCTCTGAAATATGTCCAATTGAGTGGTAAGGACAATGGCAAGGCAAGGGACTGGGAGGTGAGGAGTACTGTGCCCATTTTATGGAAGAGGAACCCAGGATGCAAAAAGATGGGACAATGCGTGCAGCAGCATATGCAGTAGGAGGTAGAGTCCCAACCCGAGGTTGCCTGAAAATAAAGTCAGTGCACTTTCTTACAGCTCACCTTTCTATTGTGTAGCCCTTGCCTGCTCCCCATGCCCCATGCAGCCATCTGGACAGCAGACCCCGTGGTACACATAGACCCCCTTGGGGATAGGGCATGTGCCCCGGATCAGTTGCAACATTCATCAAGGGCTGCCGGGGTGTCTTACCTCAGCCATTTCCCTTCTGTTTGCTCAGATTCCACAGCTGAGAAGTTGATCCAATAAATCTTCTGCTTCTAATCTTCCAGAGAGGTGAGGGTCAAGGAAAAAGGTGTGGTAAGTGTTCTGAGCTTCTCTGAGAAGGGGGATAGGTATAAGAAGCCATGTTTATGCCTGATGCAAGAGACACAAGACCAACATTATCCTTTACGCAACTTCCATGAAAATGTAAACTAGGACATTGTCTCAAGCATGGAAAATGATTTGCTGAGTCTTATAGGACAGATGATAAGCTTTCAAGTCTTCTAGCTCTTTAATCTAGTGTCCCTTATCTACAAGATCTGCCTTCCCCTATTTCTTCATCAGCACCTAAGAGTTGGTGTTTACATTTTATTAATAAAAATTATTGGTGAGATTGAGCAACTTAAATCATGTTGGCGAACATTTATATTTCATGTTCTTCCTTATTGATGTATAGGAGTTCTTTGTATATTTTAGATTGAAACCTATGTCTGTAACTTATAATGCAAATATTTTCTCCCAGTCTGTTTTTAACTTGGATTGTGGTATTTTTGTAATCAAATCTACCACTTTCCCCCCTTATAACTTGTGGGGTTTGTGTCATGTTTAGAAAAACCTGCACATCAACCACATATTTGTCAAACAAAAATTTGCCAGTTTCTAGACCTGAAAACTTTGGTGCAGGGATCCCAGGAGGTGGTCTCGCAGCAATAAGCCTTTTCCAAGGACCTCTTTGCAGGGAGCCTCTGACCTAAAGGCTCAGGACTGCTTAATCAGCCTAGGCCTCACCCTGAACCCTCACACAGCACCTGGGCTCCTGCCAAGCTCTGCCCTTTGTTCCCCATGGGTTGGAGCCTGATAAGAAGCTCAGTGAAGCGAATATTGACTGTGGCACCCTCAGAGTGTGTTGTTCTGGTCACCAAGGCCAAATCAAAGCATGTGGACTTGTTTTTCCTTTTGGTAGTCCTTTCCCCTCCCTTCTCTCTTCCCCACACTCTGAAAGGGATCTGAAACCCTACTAAGACTGTTTTATGTGGGCAGTCACCTTTATCCGACTGTTGCTGCTCTTAGGGAAAGCTTTTCAGAGCTGAATACAGAAAATGATCTTTTCAAACATACCGTTCTGTGTACTTTTATAAGCTCTGCAGTCATTGCCCTAGCATCTTCTCAAAGAAACCTGGAAACCCTGTGGCTGTTGTGTTATACAAGAAGGAAGAAACTCAGGTAACCAAAAAAGGACTATTAATTGTTTCTGGCAAGGGGGAGAAAGATTGCTTTGAAAAGCTTCTTGGAAGGACCCAGAGTCTACTGGTGCACGCGCGCACACACACACACACACACACACAGACACACACACACACAATCTAGCAATGCAGTAGCCTGCATTTAACGTTTCCAAATAGGTAACTCAAGTGTTAGGTCTGTGCTGAGTCTGGTTACCTTTGATGTCCCCCATACCTTAGTGCCACAGGCTTTCAGGGTGCATTTCTTTGTTAGGGTGCAGGGCTAAGTAACAGTTAACTCCAAAGAGAAAAAGCAAGAGATGGAGGCCCCAGCACAGGAGCAGCTGGAAGGAGGAAAGAGCTGGGCCAAAGGCTCAGAATAGCTGAGTTCTGGCGCCAAAGGGTGAAAAGGGCAGAGGAAATGGGTAGGCTGGGGCCTGTGGGAGGGGCAGGTTGGACTGGGAGGGGAAGTGAAGGCGGTTGTGAGAGATCACTTGTCCGTGGAAAGCTTTCAAAGTGGAGATTCAGGAGTGGGCGGGAGGCTTGGAAGGGTGGAGGAAGGGTCTGGATATTGCCTCCGGCCAAGGAAGGACCGGACACAGGACTACCTCCGGATGGCCATTGTGCAGAGAGCGGGCGCAGACAGCTTGGGTAGAAGGGCAGCACGAGGTTCTGAGGACCAGAGAAGGGTGGGGCTGAGCAGGCTCTGCTTTGTGTTTCCAGCTGAGGTTGAGGTCAGAGGAAGAGGCGTCTTCCCGGGGTCGGGGGCTGTGAGTGGGGAAACAGCCTCAACTTCCCCCCCATCCAGTAAGGACAACACAACTGAGCCACCTTCTAGCTCAGGAAGCACCCACTAGGTGCCAGAGGCTTGTTCCAGTGTGGACAGCAGCTTCCAGGCCCACTTCAGCAAAACCATCACCAAATGTGCCCAATATGGTCCATCTACGGCTCGCCCCGGCCACCTGTGGCAGTGTAGTGCCCAGGCCCCTGGACGCTTTGGGGGTCACTCCTTGCCCCATCTGCCTGCTGGAAACTCCTTTTTCTTGCCCCCTAACCTGCTGCTTCATTGGTCCTGTCGGTAACGCTCAGGACCAGGCCAGGTGCTTCTACCTGCTGGGGACCGGGGACCCTGAGCTTCCACAGGACTGGCCCTCCCTGTGATGACATCACTCATGTCGAGACTCCCACCCCAACGGCATCCCTGGGAGGGAGGCAGGGAGAAACGGGGGGCCTGAGAAGCATAGAAGTCCAGCTTACTGGTGAAGAGAGTTGACTCTGCAGACACAAAGGGCAACAAGATATTGTGTGATTCTTCTTCTATGAAGCATCTATGATAGGCAAATTCTTCCTACCCAGTGTTCTTATTTCTCCCAAAATAAACAAACAAATAAATAAATAGAAGCAGCAAATTCTTAGAGACGAAAAGGAGATTAGTGGTACCAAGGTTCAGAGGAGGGGAACGTTGGGAAGTTATTGCTTAACAGTTACAGAGTTTTTACTTGGGTTGATGAAAAAGTCTTGGAAATCGTGGTGATGATTGTACAACACTGTGAATGTACTTAATGCCACTGAATTTTGCCTTAAAATGGTTAAAATAACATTTATGTTACACATATATAAATATAAACATTTACCACAATTTAAAAAAATTATTCTCCTATGAAGAGGCAATCAAAGAGCTCAGTCAAAAAATCTGGGAAAAATGTATTATGCAGTGTGCCCGACAGGCATGCCATACTGTTAATAAGAGTAGTTGGTCATTTTAAAAAGAGGGAAGATCCAGCTTTGAATCCAGCTTTGAATCCAGGCCCTACTAGCTTGGCATGCAGGCCTCTCCCCACCCCTTACCCAAGTTTCCTCATCTGTAAAATGAGGCTTATGTGGCAGAGAATGTGTGTGCTGGTCACAGAGCTGTGCAAACCCTGCAAAGAGGGACCGATGTTCAAGTTCCCCATTCCTACTAAGCAGCTCAAGTTCTCAGAGCCAGGGAGGGGATTCTTATTGGCTGGACTCCAGGGCTTTATTTTGAAGTTAACCTTGAGGGCATAGCATTTGGTAGTGGGTGGGGTGTGGAAGGAGCAGAGGTTGGCGGGGAGCGGCGGTGAGGGCCAGGGGCTTTCGAAAGCTCATTGCACAACAGGGACAGAGAGACAGGCTTTGTCTTCAAAGGTGTCCCAGCAGGTTACAACAAGGACTAGAGCAGGTGCTGATGAGGCCGCAGTTTGGGAGTCTGATCCCTAACAAGGCCAGGTCCCCTCACTCTGCCCAAGTTTGCTCCTTGAATACAGAGGAGGATCTGGGCCATAGAGTATGGGCAGCTCCACGGGGCAGTTCTTGCTCATCACTGGACACTCATTGTCTCCGAAGGACGGGCTACATCGGAGTGTTGTCTTAGATTCGAATGCAGGAGGAACTGGAATAATCAGTAACATTTCTCCCAGGCAGAGCTGCTCTGAGCTGTGGGCCAACAGGAGGCCGGGAGCTCTCCTCTAAATTGCTTTGTGACCTTGGACAAGAACTCTCCCCTTCCTGGACTGCAAATTTCCTCCTCTGTAAAATGAAGGGTTGGTGAGTGTCCCTGTAATGCTGGGATTTTGTAACCATACTTGTTTGTAGGAATGTGTTCAAGCACAAGGTGATCCACCTCTTGATCAGCAACAGGATGTATAGAATTTTTTTGGCTTAAGATTTCCTAAGAAGTAATATACCCCTGCTCCCTTTGCCAGCTGGGTGACCTCAGGCAAGCTACTTGACCTTTCTGTGTCTCTCTATTTTCATTTGTAAAATAAGGACAACAACAATCACAACTTGGTCGGATGTCGGGGGTGGGGGCTCATGGTGAGGACTAAATGAGTTAATATGTCTAAAGTCATCTGAACAGTATCTAGCACACAGTAGGTGCTTAATAAATGTCTGGAGCTCCTTCCAAGTGCACAGCACTCACAATGGTTAAGTTATTCATACTCTAGGTTATGCCGAGCTTTCTGAGAGATCCAGAGAAGCCAGGGAGGCCCATTCTCTGCATTCAAGGGGCTTACTAGCCTTTACTTAGAGATGCAAAAAAAGCGCTTATGAAACAGCAGCCAACAAGAAAATGCATCATCCAAGTGCTGGAGGGGTCCTGGTGGGTTAAAGAAGGAGGATCATGAGGTGAGCACTTGATCTGAACCGTGGGTAGGCAGGGAGAGAGAAGGGAATTCTAGCAGATGAGTGTGTGTGTGTGTGTGTGTGTGTGTGTGTATATATGTGTGTGTGTGTGTGTGTATGAGTGGTGTTGTGACTATGTGTATGGGTTAGTGTGAGAGTGTGTGTATGTGCATGTTTGCCAAAAGAGCATGAACAAAGGCTTACCCTGCAATGAGAAGTCTGAGTCTTCAGCTCCCCTAGGCAGCACCACATTTTGTGGTTGTGTTGCGGCCACATGCTCCTCTCCTGCTCGTTGCTGGGACCGGGAATGTGCCTGTCTATGAGTCCAGGAGCAAGCCCTTGTGCAGAATCCAGGGTGTGATTAATTTAATTATTTCAAAAGCCCCTTTGGTATTTCATGAGGGTCATGCCCCTGGCTGTGGGCTTGAATACAACTGCAGCAGGTTTCAATAAAATCAATTAATTTAATTTGATTTGGTTTTATGTACTTGGAGATGGTGCCTCTTGAACTCAGTATGAAAATTATTGCAGAATAAAAATGCATATTAGTACTCAGAGCCCAGTGTCCTTGGACTGTCTTCATGGAGCCTGCAGTACTGATCACAAAGGCAAATCCCCTCTGACCTGGCAGGAACCGCTGCCAACTGCCCACCTAGTTAACCCCCTCCAGCTTCGGACAGTGTTTGTGGCAGTTCTTGGGCTGCTTGGAGTGTTCTCACTTCCTAAAGCACTTTCTTATCTGGTAGTGAAGCTAAGGCATTTCCATTTTGCTTTCGTGAAGTGGACTCAAAGAGACTTTGGATGGCCTTGGTCACCAGCTTACTGGTTTTTTTTTTGTTGTTGTCGCTGTTAGTGAAATTAATTGAAGCAATATGGTGCAGTGGGTTGAAAGGTAGCTCTGCCTCTCAAGAGACACATGAACTTGGGCAAGTCCTTTCACTTCTCTAGGCTTTGTTTCTTTGTCTGTAAGTAAGAGGGCTGGACATCTGCTTGAAAGGCTGATTCCAGCTCTCAGAATCACACATTCAGTGGGACAGCTGGTCTTCCTGAGCTGCTTTGGGGAGGCTGTCCCACTGTTAAGCCCCACTTCATTTCCATTTCATTCAAGAGGGCTCCCAGCCAGTTCATGGAATGGGTGATGGGATGAAGACGGGCCCTGCACCCTCTAGGAGTGGCTTCTCCCCCACATTGCTACGGATCAGAGCAAATGCTGCTTTCAAGAAGGGAGGAGCTCAGGGGCCTAGAAAGCATCTGGCCGGGCCACGATTTTACAGATGAGGGAACCCAGCTTCAGAGTCACACAGCCACAGTCCAGGGCCATGCTCATGCCTGGCCACGTTCACAGTCATTATAAAGGGGGGAGATTTTACTCAGGGCTCATTTTCCAATTGTCCTTTTCATTTTGTTCTCCTGTCAGGATGGGAGAGAGATGGCCAAGACATCTTTGGGGCCTCTCCAATAAAGCAGATGCTGACATCAGTCATTCCAGCACCCCTACATCCCTTCTCAGGCCCAGTGGCTGCCGCTTCACTGAGGATCGACGGGCCCCATTCGGAAACATTCTCCACCAGTGCCTGCCATCCCACCCTTAGCAGTTTCATTCTCCTAGACAGGAGGGCCTGCCCTCCCTCAGCCCTTCTTACTGACTTCATGCTGAGCACCTAACGTTCATCCTCTTCAGTGACATTTTTCTCCCATAGGTCTTACCTGCCCAGAGCTCTTCTGTAGCAGAAACTGAGCCTGTCCTCTCCATCCTGCGTCTCTTATTTACTGAGAGGCACTATTGTGTGCTGAGAACTGCCCTGGGCACTCCCTGTACATTATCTCATTGAATCCAGCATTGGCCGGGAAGATGGGCATTACGGTCCCTATTTTCCTGTGGGGTAACTTCAGCTCAGACAGGAGACAGACTTTCTACAAGGTCACACACAGCTATGAAGTGACAGGGCCAGGATTCAACCCCACATCTAACTCCAAGACTCTTGCATCATACCATGTGACCTCCCTTGCACATAGGAGGTGCTTAACAGATCCTTAGTGACCATGTAGCCTATACATCCCTCTGCCAAACCCCAAATGTCGGGGAAGAGGTAATAATAGTAACTATTGTCTATGAAGTCCCTATTATGTGCCCGGCACCAAAACGCCACACTCAGTGAGGTGAATACTATTACTCTCTCAATTTTACAGCTGCAAGAACTGAGGCATAGAGAAGTCACTTGCCCAAGGTCACCCAGCAGGTAGTGAGCTGGGCTTCAGTGTGGCCCTGCCTCTGAGGTGGAGCCCCTGCCTCCCTCCTGTTGCTGGATCCTCCTTTGGCTCCCCGTGGCTGTTTCCGGTAGAAGGCAGAAGGCTGCAGGGAAGGAGGCTGGGGCCAGGGGTAGTGTTTGCGCCTCGGAGACGCCTGCAGCTGGCACTGCCCTCCACCCAGCAGATAACGGCAGCCGGGTCTGGCACGAAGCCCTGCCTGGGGGTGG